TTTTGAGAAGAATTTGATTCTTTGAGTTTATAATGGACGGTTGTACAACACTTTAGTCACTTAAAAACTTTTTACCTACTAATTGGACCAAAAATCTAATCATAAAAGTCACTGAAAATATCATACTAGTAAAGGTATTATAAAATTGACAACACCATGTAACATACTATTATTGAGTTTTTCGAAAATGAAAAAAAGGGAAATACATTATTTTAGTAATTAAAAAGTGAAATAGTTGTTATTTTATTAAGATAATTTTTGAATTCAACATCGTACAATTGGTATAAAAAATAACATGTATTTATATTCGAACAAACTAGTTAACTAGATGAAATTGTAGGACCGACGTCTTAGTTGGTCACAACCACGTTTGGTCACGACTGACTTCATCCAGGCCACCAACTTCGAGGGCCACCACTCTGATCTTGGTTCTGATACCATTGATATAGGACAATAAGAGAGCCACCCCAAAAGCTAGCTCAAAGGAAGAAGAGTCCATTGTTCTATATAAATTCCACATCAACCCCTCATATGACCGATGTGAGACTCAAGTGGAGCCAAGTCCCATACCTTACAATTGATAATTCTATAACATCTAAACTGTTTTTTTTAATCTATAATTAAAATAATTTCTGTCTTTGAAAGATGCACCTGAATTGAACCGTCTACACCGTATGCTCCTATCCAAATCCGTATTCATACCCGAATCCATATCCGCATGGAGGTAATTAAAGGATTGGACTTAGAGCATAGCAATGGGCTGTATAACTCTCTAATACAATTAGCCCATAATTTTTAAAGCCATACTAAAAGAGAGAGCTTTAGACTTTATAGCTTACACATTACAATCCTCTATTTCAGCTGGGTTTTTCCGGTGAACTGCAAAAATGGCGGCAAATTCCGAGGTTAGCTTTCCTACCAATTATCTTCAAAATTTTGTCTTTTATTGTTTCTGTAATCGCTATTGTTTTCTTATTGTAAATAGAATACAGGGGTTAGATCGTTTCAGCTTTTTCAATCAGCTGATGAGAGCAAGAATAAACCCAATAATGGAGGATTAGGGTTTTTGAATTTCCCAGAAACCCCTCTTCCTCCTCCTCCCCCTTGTGTTGAAGTACTCCCTTCTGAGGTTTGTCAATTTTATTTTTTGTGAATTTTTAGCTATTTTATGGGCATTTTTTGTTTATAATTTTGTTGGGTATTGATATATTTAGGTATCTACTTCTGTGAAGTATACTGTTGAGAAGGTTGATTTGGGGGTTGTTACTTTGCTTAAGGTAAGCTTTATTTACTACGCATTATTTTATGTAATTGTTTTTACTGAATTGTTTAAGTTGTAGAGGAAATTGGAGTGTGGAAATTTATAAACTTTAGTAACACTGATCGACACATGATTTTATTATGCATTCGGAATGGATACTGGAAAGTGTTGGAAACTTAATGTTAAGAACTATACAAAGATGTATAGCCTAGTGATTTGACATTTTGATTAGAAGGATAGACTCAATACACATTCTTTTCATGAACTTTTGTTGAAGAATTTTGTAGAACATGCTATTGTGAGACATTAAAAGGTAGTTAGTACTGGACTAGTAGGCGAAAAGGGGAAGAAATAGTTAGATAGTCTTCGAATAAACTTGTTCAAGCAATGGTTTGAGTAGGAGCTTTTCTTGATGTTTGATTCATTGTGACGATAATGTGTTTGAAAACTTGAAAGACACTTAAATCACCTATGTAAAGAAGATGGCAGAGAATTTAAAGAACTCTTGATCAATCAACTTAGAAACTGATGCAATTTTTTTGTAAATTATTTTAGAAAACTGTTTCTATTAATTCTATTTATAAACCTTACATGTCTAAGCTCTAACCTTTGACAATTGACATGCTCCAAGATGATTGTACTTAGGTCTTGCATAAAAACTTAAATTTGTTTATGATATTTTTTGATTAAAAGTTGTATCTTAATTTCATTTGTTGACAAGATATTTTCTTCTTCTTTCTTGGATAATAAAAGCCTTACATATTCTTTTCCTTACATTGCTTTTGACTTGTAGAATGGGAAGTGGGGAAGGGGCTGGGTAGAAAACCAAATTTGACATGTTGATTTGATGTGCAATAAAGTTTGAACATTTTTTAAAAAAATTTACAGGGTCGGGTGAGTACACGAGAGGTTTTTGCATTGCCAAACTCTGATTTGGTTCCTGGGAAATATGAAGGTGTGCAAAGTAATTTACTTTTTGGTTTTCCTGTGACGCTTATATTATGATTTACTATATTATTTACTAATTAGCAATTGGTATTATAAATTATATGGAGGACAGGAGGTCTTAAACTCTGGGAAGGCTCGCTTGATTTGGTGAAAGCTCTCCATTCAGAGATTCAAAAAGGGGATTTATCATTTGAAGGGAAGCGAGTCTTAGAGGTGGGCTTTTAATTTTCAGGTGATTATTTTTGTTTGTTATTTTATATTGATGAGAAACAAAGAATGCCAAGGATGGCTTTCTCTGGGGGTGGAAGTTCTAGCCTTCATATAGGTTTCACATATATCATCTTCGTTTGTACTCTAATTATTATCTATAATCGCATGGTCAATGGTAACCCATGACTCTAGATTATTGCTTGGGGGACTTGGGAAGATGCTCCTTTCCAATTTCCATCTAAAATTTCCACTTGCCTAAAGAGGTGCCATGGATTTTGGCAAGCAACCTCATGTATGACCTTCTTTGAGGTGTCATGTGTCAGTTTGGCTTGCATTATGTGTTAAGACTGTTAACGGTGCATAGAATTTGGCCCTTCGTGATGGTATGGGTAATGATTTGACCTTGATTGTAGCCTATAGGTAGTAGGCATGTGCTGATGATTCCTTAGCCTTATCCAATGTGAACAATTGTATAGCTTCGAGCCTCGAAGTGATATCTAGATATGTTGAGATAACGAATTATCTTTTCAATTGGTTTTTCAATGAAAATGGAATTCAGCTGGATTTTTCATTTAATAATTTTTTTTATTCCATGCCTTTTAAGTTTTTAGTAACAGTGTAACCTTTGTTGTTTGTAGCTTGGATGTGGCCATGGGCTTCCTGGAATTTTTGCCTCCCTCAAGGTGAGCACGTCACTGTCTCACTGCTAACTGTTCATTCGTTGTCCCCCTCCCTGCTCCCTCTCATTTGCTCAGCTGTTCAAATTTATTCTTGTGTCAGGGTGCAGGTTCCATTCATTTTCAGGATTTCAATGTAGAGGTCTTAAAATGTCTCACTCTTCCAAACGTGAATGCAAATCTGCCGTCAGGAACTAGTATTGCTGATAATTGTGAAATTCGTTATTTTGCTGGTGATTGGAGAGAAGTTGATCGAATTCTTTCCCATGCTCACCCAGACAGTATTAATGCCACATCATCTGATGACAATCCAAATACAGGATATGATGTGATTTTAATGGCTGAGACTGTTTATTCCATCTCCACTCTACAGAGCCTTTACAATCTTATTAAGAAAGTATGTTGTTAGTGTTTCTCTTTTGTATTTGCATTTTGCTGGAAAAAAATTGTTTTTTTTTCCAAGACTAAACATAGTATGTACTACTCCTGCAGTGTGTCAGCCGTCCGCATGGTGTTATCTATTTTTCTGCAAAGAAGCATTATTTTGGAGTAGGTGGAGGATCAAGGCAATTCATATCTATTGCAGAGAAAGATGGTAGGTTTTTTGGTTGCATGCCATAGGATGCTCAACATTGTCTTTCATAAATATTGAGAGATTAATGCATTAGGCATAAACAGAGGGTTATTTATGCTGGCTACGATAGAAAAATTCAAAAATCTCATGAAGTATATTTTTCCATGTTTTCTATACATGTAGTATTGTTTGGTGGATTAATTAATACCTTTTCCGTCCTTTATAATTAAGCTTACTTGGAAATGTTATAGAGATTAAGAACTGTGGATAGAAAGAATATGTAAGAAAAAGCTTGGAGTTAGAGAGAGATATAGGAAGAGAGATTTTACTTGAAAAGAAAGGTGTTCTGTTGATATACAATGGCTAATTTGGGCATTATAATATGGGACAAATGGAGATTTGGGCTTTTTATTCACAACTTACTACGGAGTATCAAGAAGTTTACTGCAGAGATTCTGTTGCTTGCCATCTCTGACCTGTGGTTAATTGGCTTAATTTGTTGCTGACTGATGTTGCAGGTATGATGATAGCCAGCTTAATTGCTGAAGTGGCTGATGGCTCATCAAACCTCAGAGAAGTTTGGAAACTATCTTGCAAGTGAGCATGCAATTCAAATATTTCAGTTTGATGCTGGAACTAACCCTCAAAAAGACGGGACCAACTATTGAGAAAGCTTAGAGAAGAGACCGTTGTGGGATCTAATCCTTGTGGCAGTTGCTTTCTGGTTTTGCTGCAAAAACAAACTTGAAGCTTGCTATAATCTTGATCTATGTTGCTGATATGTATGCCTCATATGATATGTTTGTTTTATTGGAGGGTCTTTTTTTCTGTTCCTGCCATGTAAGTGTAATGCAAATGTTCAGGAACTATTTGAACTAATGAATTGGAGTTTTTATAAGATGAATGGGGCTGTGTTTCTGAAATCCCCTTCAGTTTTTTTACCTATATTCTTTGCCAGAACAGAATAATCATACAGGTAGAGAATTTCTCAGTTAGTATTGTAGTGTAGGACACAGGTAGATGCCCAAGGCCGTCTTGCGAAAATTTTCCATGAGTTTGGCTTACTATGAAGTGTCCATGAGTCTGGCTTACTATGAAGTGTCCATGAGTCATAAATTCATGTACAAGTAACGAGTATCTGACGCAGATATTTGAAGTGAAATGAGAAGTCTAGATTTTACCTGACTCAAAAACCTGATTGGGACCTGCCTAAAATCTTATGTTTGAACACCATTTTGACCCTAAGTAAGAAATGTATGAAAAATAGTTGAGCCAAAAGTGACCTGAAATTGGATCATGTACTATTTCAATAACAACCGAAGCCTTAATCTTGAAAAATTGATCTTGTATTGAACCAAATATAACTGACCCAAAACCAGTTTGACCAGCTGATTTGACAGCAATGGTTAACATTTGAGTCTAAGCAAGCAAAACCGTAGTAAAAGCAAAAATGGACTGCACAACTGATAACCAATATATTTCAGAAAATTTTCTTTCTGTGATAAATACACAAGTAGCAGCAAATATGAAGCAATTACAATGCTAAGTGTCTGATCTACAGCGATAATACTTTGAGCAGCCTCTGTGATACGGATTGGCTGCAGGACCAAGACATTCAGAATTGCTGGAATAAGCCTGGCCCCTAGGACCGCCGCAGGCAGGTTGATTTCTGTTCAAAGCACCATACGAGATGTACTTCCTTTCTTCAAGAATCCTCCGAGCTATTTCCGACATCATCAACATCTCATTCTCTTGTTGGCATTCGCCTATTGAACCATTACACTGTAAGTATGCATCAGTATCCGTTCTGGCACCATGAACGTGGAGCGGAAGACTGATGAATATAAAAAACAAGCAGCATGTAAGTTTCCTCATTGCTTTGTATTCCATATTTCTTTTCCCTTTTGAGCTGTTTATTTATGGCCTCCCATCATTTCCTCTTAGAGAGCACTATATAAGTAAGTGTTATACTCACCTTTATATTATAAAGGTGACAAAGTGGAAAGCCAACTTTAAGCATGCACTTTGATGGACCGCACTTCACCTAATTGCTCGAATTACAAAGCATATTGGTTTTTGCACGTTTAGCAGCTCAGAATGATTAACTTTAGTCAAATTATATGATTTATAATTTTCACTAAGATATGCTTTGCATAATGGTTGCCTACCAAGGGAGGAAAACATGATCTGCTTAATGATTGGTTTTGACTTGTGTTATATCATAAGGGCCCAAGTTTGGTAAACTAGCACCAAATCATGTCTTAGATTTGTTGATCTACATGGCATAGATATGCAACAAGTTTGGAAAAATCCTTTCTATCAATCTCTTATTGATGGCTAAATGTAGAGGTGGGCCGTGCTTGAGCCTCTGGGTGGCACGGCTGATGAGTGATGAGGCCACAATAGTCGCGCTGGACCACTGAAGTCCTTTTAACATGGTTGAGAAGGGAGAATTCGGATAAAGTTCCATAAAGATCAAACTCGAGTGATGAACCAATTAATTTGGGTATGTGTTGGGCATATAAAGTTTATTACAGTATCAATTATGTGTAGCTGTGTATGATTATACAACCGATTAGTCATGTCCATATTCAGGTTAGTCCTTGTTTGATTTGGTTTGGAAGATTTGAATCAGGTTATCTAGTTTCAGAATTGAATACAGGTGGTTGGGTTTGACTCGGACTATTTTGGCTATGTCAGTTTACGAGTTCTAGTTAATGCAAGGTAGGAACATAGCGCGAGTTCATTTAAAGTTACCAGAGGGCAGAGGAACTGACTCAGTCCATATATGAGATAAATCACACGTCACACCATTAAACAAAACTTAAGTCTAGGACACCTTAAATTCTACTGAGAAAATGAAACAATTGTATACAACACATTGCATCAGTTCAGACTTCAGAGTCTGACACAACATAGCCTTGTTTTATTTGCTTCATGACTAGAGAAAAAGGACATGTTAAGAAATTAAACTTGAAGAGTCATCTCCTGCAATGGTACTTGCACCTATGATTATTTTCTGGATCGGGGCTTGGGTTTACCCCTGGCTGCCCTATCATATTTCAGTACTCCATAGCTGATGTACGTGGCTCGTGTGGAATAAGCAGGGATTGGAAGTTTTGTCGATTGTTCATCATCGTTGGAGTCATCATCACTGGAGCTGTCACTGGACTCATCACTTGTCCAGCTCTTCTTTCCATGATGTTGCATACTATCAGTATAGCGGTAGCCTTTCATTGTTTTGTGGTTTGTGTGTGAATTTACTCGGCTGAGAGATTGGTGTTTCTGCTATTAAGTGAGAAGATGTACTCTTAAATAAGCTAGTTGCATTCTGAATAAGAACTTAAAATATTTACAAGTTGTGGAAACACTGAATCTGAATCTATTCCCCCAACAAAGTAGGATATGTAGATATAATGTATTGATTATGGGTATCTCACAACTTTTCTAATAGCAATAAGAACATGTGATTTGATTTGAGTAAACTAAGGATCAAATGTGAACAAACTCTTGTTGATCATAGTGATAAAGCCTGCATAGAGTGACCTGTTTCTTAATTACACGAGTTTTTATAAAGAGGCATCGAAAACATGTTGTTTAGAAAACTTAAATTATGATACTTCATCCATCTACAAATTATAATTCACCACAAAATTCTGGAGAATCTATGTCTTGTACATAGGCTCAGTTAGAAATAGGTGTAACCAATGCTATATTGGGTGCATGATATGCTCATTTCATTTGCTCATTTGTGGTTACTTTTTGCTCGTTCAAATGAGTACTAAAATAGTCTTGGTGCATCCAAGGTGTAACTAGAAACAATACAATTTGTGTTCCAACATTTGTTACAAGATTTTTAGTCATGAAATCTTGCAGAGCAGATATATTATTGGTGGACGAAGGGAATTTGTCATTTGGCCTCTTTGAACAAATCCATATCCAATCCCTAAAGAAGAATCATATTCCCCTTTCGGATCTTCCCTGAAGCCTGTGTATTTGTCCTTGAGGTCGAGTAGCATAGTAGAGGCCTAATATTCTATTTAGAGTGTATCTATTTCCTCAAGTTGGGTAATCAAAAGGGTCTGAAACATTGGCCCTTTATGAATCAAATTTCAGTTAGGCAAATACCCAACTCCTCTCATTTTCCTGAACATTTTATATTTTGAAAGCATGAAATGGAGGTAAATATGAATAGGTTTTTGAGTATATTGATATGGTGTTTATTAGATCTTGTACTATAGTACTTCAGAATCCTCTGAAACATGGCTTAGTATTATTTATGACATTAGTATGCATTATCATAGAAACTAGCTAAAAAAAAAACAGCCATGAAAGAAACTGAAAATAACTATAGTCCTCATTTTTCGGCCTCCTGCAGTCCTGTAGGTAAATCAACCCCTGCACCTGTGACACTTAGAGTGGCCACGACGCCAGGTGTTTGCAGGCTGAAGAGGACCATGAATTCCCTGGGGTGACTGTTCCTGATCTCCCTTCAGAGCATTAAAACTGATGTAGTTTTTCTGCTGAGCAAACATCGTCTCTTGCTCAACTTCCGTGTGTCTGCCATTGTGGAACTGCTCGTAGTCTTACTCGTTGTACTGCACCTCAGTGGAACTACTGTCATACTCTTGGTTTGTGTATGGCCTGTAGTTTTGATAGTACTACATAGCTATGATTTTGTTACGATTCTGTTTTCTTTGATTTGTATTTTAAAATGAGAAGTGATATTATTATCATCATTCTCTTAAATAGGCATGATCCAAGCAAAAGTTTACAGAAAATTGTGGGCAGTGGTCATTGTCATAGCGCACTGAATATATTCCTAGGACACTAGTAGGATGGTTGATAATGTTAAATATGTTAGTCTTTTAATTTTGTGGTCAATTCAAGAAAATAACCAAGAGTTTAGGTCAACTAAGGTCATCATGTCAACATGTATAAATGATGTTGACCAAGAGTAGTTGCCATTTTAAAAAAAGAAAAAAAAAAAAAAAAAAAACACTTCCAAATTTCCGAGTTTAGGTCATCTAGACTTAGTATCTCATCTTGTCTACATCATTGTCTTTTGTGACCCTCTACGAGAAGAAAGGCGTGGTATAAAACTGGTCACTCATGCTGTCATGCAATCTCTTATAGAATCTATAATAAATCAGGCAAAAAAATGGTTAAAACCCATTTTAACATACTGTATAAACCTGTAGTTCTGCCCTGTTAAGTCACTGGTATAATACAGTTATGAAAACTGCTAGCAATAAAAATATACTTGGAAGCAATTGGCTTCTTACAGAGCTGTATTCATGGCCTTTTGTCAATTATCAGCTTTTTATTCTTTAAATTCGACAATAGGCTTATCAGTTCCTGGCAAATTTGTTCGTAATTACACCATTAATCACAGTAATCATCAAGAACTGATACTACTGGTGTCAACTCACATCCAGTGCTGGATGTGATAAGAGGATAAGATGCCAATATGCCATTCCTTAAAGGCTAAAACTCTTGTGTGCTAATATAATTCGGTCTTTTTTCTTCTTATAATGGCGTGTAAGTTTAGTAAGCGTGTGTATGATCAACTTCTTTACGGCAAATTATATCCTACACCTGGGATCACCACATACTTGACATTGGCCACGGATATGTTTTGTTCAATTTAGTGCATATTCATTTGGAGCATCATGCGCATGGTGCTCTTTAACGACGACTTTTCTCTCACAAGGAAAACATAATACATGTACATAAAATTATTACAATGGAAACATTTAAAACCAGCATTTCAATAGCTTTAACAAATAAAAATAAGTTTTAACATTAATATCTAATCTAATGTCAATCCCACATTACAACAGAACTATCTGCAGCATAATTCAGATAGTAGCTAAATTTATTCAACATGAACTCTTATTTGCTGAGCAGTTTATCTGCTCAAACCCATATATCTGAAGTGCAGTCACCACCGGGGTATCTCATTTCATGGGCAAGGGAAGGACCATCAGGTTCCAAGCCAAAATCTACGAAGAAGTTGGGATTTATAGCAAGGCCGCCTTTCTCAGTGTCAACGTCTATTTGCAACATGTGAGATCCTTGTTCCTTTAGTTCAGGATAGAATTGATTGTCCCATGTGCTAAAGAGGGAATTGGTCACATAAAGACGCTTCCCATCTAAACTTAACTGTATCATCTGAGGCCCGCCTCTCAGTCTCTTGCCCTGCAAAATATAGAACAGTAAGCTTTTGGTTTTAAGGCAATAAGATCTAAAGGGCTTGAAATAAAATGTCATTATAACATGAGAAGTCACAGATTTGTTCAAGGGTAGTACTCCATCAGCTTAATACAAGCTTCAGGACCTGCACAATCACAAATCTAACCTAAATCAAGCGTAGTATGTCTGCCTAAGTCACTTCAATTCATAGGAGTATGGGACTAATCCAAGTTGTTCAGATAGTTCAAGACCTTCAAGTCCTATATATCATTCTTCCCATTTTGAACAATTTTGCCTCATCAAAAGGCTCTAAATGAGATGAACAATATGAAACAGAAGCACTAAAATTTGTCAGAACTCAGAACTAATTCAAGCAATATTAAGCCAGCAGTACAAATAGGTAAGTTTAAAGACCTAAGACTCCATGGTATATTGTCTGTTGTTAGCCTGATTCAAGCATAAGGACCTAAGATTACACAAAGATATTACCTGAACTTCTGGAACATCAACCTGATAAGTTGAACCATCTTCAGCAACTGCTGTAACAGGACTTCCTTTCCGAATAAGACCTCCAACCCACACTTGGCCAGTCAAAACAGGGTTTTTGGGATCCTCAATGTTATACTGTCGAATATCACCATGAAGCCAGTTCGAGAAGTATATAAACCGGTCATCTAGGGAGATTAAAAAGTCAGTTATCAACCCAGGCATCTCAGGTAGAACCCAGTTTTGCACCTGTATTGACTTAACAGATGCTGCAACCTGAAAAGCGAAACATGCAGACCTGTTTAGCTGAAGGAACTGTAAAATAAAACAGAGAGAAGTCAAAGGTCTGCAATTAGGCGGGAAACATGTATGCATACCTCATGGCTCCAAGATCCATCTGGGTTCTTGAAAAATCGAATCATATTACTTGATAATGCACTCCCAACAAAACCAGTATCTTTAGAAGGGTCGTGAAGGAACCGTATCTGTATATTTACAGGACACACATAAGCAAAGAAGCACTCCATTAATTCAACAAGAATTTCACAATAGTTTTTTCTTCTTCTCAAGTCTCAACCCACCTCCAAGGGTAGAAGTCCAGTATTGCCGAGGTCCAATGTCTGTTTCAATTCACCGTCAGGCCAGCTATATACAAATAGGTGTCTTCCATATAGGCCCTCAGACACGTGCTGAGGGTTAAAACCTTTAGAAAAAGCCAAAGGGGCTCCCCATGATGAGCTTATCATTGTCTTATGCCGGGGTTGGTACCAGAAATCATAGCCAAAGGTTGGACTATGCCCTGGCTTTTCCCACCTACAATAATGAAAATCCATCAAGGAGAAGATTTAAGCAACTAAAATTTACTCAAGATCATCTGCCAGAGCAAACAAACAATTAATATTAAAACCAGGGTAAGTGCCCCAACATCAGACTCGACATAATTGCAAAAGTTTGCATGAATGGAGTATCTATAACCATGATTGATTGTCAAGTATACCACTGACCTATACCAATATTTAGGTGTAATGAAGAGACCAAGTTAGCAAGTGCATAAAACAGAAGTAACATAAAGTACTAGAAGTCATTATGATGACCGTGTATGATGGAATATGGTATTGAAAGCTACATAGGTGCATCATGCAGTAGCAGAGAATAAAATAGCAATTTCGTTTTACCTTCCTTTTACATTAAATTCATTGTCAAGTAGGAGAAACCCATTTCCATCAGCTTTCCCATCGCCGCCACCAAGGCATGAGATTAGGATGTCACCAGAGGCAAGGCAATGAGAAGTGTGGGGGTAAGCTAATCCAGTCTTCGCCAAGATATCTTCAGGCTCAACAGCTTTGTGCAGTGAGGGAGCCTTTGGATTCTTTGTATCTACAATGTAAACTCTTCCTGATCTGTAATAACAAAGCAAGAGATGAAGAGAGATCTCATCAAACAAGCCAACATTTTATAGTTAAATCTGATTAACCCATATGCGCCCTTCACTTGAAAATTTAGATCAAATGTTACTTTAGCACAAGAGTCAATCTTCTTAACCGATTTACATAATCAGACCATCAGTATCCGAAACTTCAATACATGAAGTAAAAAATCAATCACGGAGAGTAACATTATTAGCACAAGTACATGACATCAATATTACTAAGGAGGCTCTTGTCCAGCAAATCCACTGGATAAAACAGAAGGTAGCATCGATTATTCTGACAGATGGTTACATAATACTATAATAGCTTCTGATATTTTGAATGGTGGCTATAATACCAAAAGCTAAATTTTCCAATTGACAACATGATGAAATTGAGGAATATATGAGTAACAAGCCTTACATTAAAGAGGGAAGCACGAGAAAACGTCTGTCAGCGGATGAGTCTCCATGGCAAGAGCTGCAGGAATTCCACCCTGAATGATGCAACTCATCCCCCAAATGAGGAACAAACAATCGATGGATAACTTTTGAATAAGTAGGAGAGTTAGGATTCACATCAACTGTGGCTAGGTAGTCAGGCTTCTCTCTCCCAGTTCCTGCAGATACCAGGACATGTTACAAGACCAAATTGGATTCTACACAAAATAAAGCAGCAAATGAACTCACATTCAGGAAATAGTTATAGAAATTTGTGACATTGCCTAATCTCTACACTTAGCAAGGACTTTATTTTAGCATGAAATTCACATTTCGTAATTGAAGCAGATTGCTAATTTGGCTAATCAACTACACAATAAAAAAAAATCTTCATAGCTGATAGCTGTAATTCCCCACTTAATAAGAGCAAGTCTTAGGTGATAATGTGAGACTATCTCGTACAAGATTTTCATCATAATAAGTCATCAAAGGATCTTGATTTGTTAATCCTAAGGTTTACCAATTTGTTTATACTTGTTCACCTTGTCCATCTTTGAGACACAATCATCAGAAAATGGCCCTGATGAGTGTCATTTCCAACACTATTTATATCTATGTTCCTTAGATCTTAGGTTATTGAGGCGTTTTGGAAGATAAAATGATGAACCAAATTAAAATTTCACAATTGTCATCAAAACCCATCTCATAGACAACACTAAAATTCAAACACTCCCCTGTATTGTATTCATACAACAATTCAGTTTACTAATTCCCAGCCTTTAATCAATCATTAACATTCACAAATAGCAAAAATAAAATCCCTTTTTTTCATAACATGCAAAAAAAGGGATTTAAATTATCTAAAAAAATAGGCACCAAATTAAAATTTCACAATGCAAACATTAAAAATTCACAATTCCCATCAAAACACATCTCAGAGACACACTAAAATTCAAACACTCCCCTGCATCAAATTCATACATCAATTGCTTTCCAAAAAAAAAAAAAAAAAAAAAAAAAAAACCTTCATACATTAATTCAGTTCATCATTTCCCAACCTTAATCAATCATCACCACTCACCAAAAAAAAAATCCCTTTTTTTTTTCTGTTGCATGCAAAATAAGAACTTCAAAATATCTATCAACAAAAATGATTGCATGATTATCTTTGAAGTAAAAAATTTCATGATTATCTATAAACAGTAAAGATTGAATTTTTTGAAAATAAGAACTTCAATATATCAATCAACAAAAATGATTGCATGATTATCAATGAAGTATAGGATTGCACGATTATCTAAGAATTAAAGGTAAAAAAGCAGACTAATAAACAGTAAAGATTGAATCTTTTTTGGGTTTTTTGGGTGCAAGGGTTTTACCAGTATATACACAAGTAACATAAAGCAGAGATTCTTTGGGCCCAGCCATGGCTTCCAAAGGACTAGCATAACCTGGGCCTTTGCCATGGCAGCAAGCTTTTCCCCCATTACTATCCACCTTCTTCTCTAATTCTCCATGCATAATCACTTCTACATCAACACCAGCCATTTTTCTGCAAAATTCACCCAAAACAAAGATTGATTAGAAAAGAAAAAAACTGGGAAATTGACAATTTTCAATCTAAAAATCAAAAGAACAAAAAAAACCCACCAAGAAAAGATGATTAATTTGATTAGAAGAGTAAGTAAATGTCTTTGATTTTATCGGATCACTGAAATAACATGGGAGTATAAATACAAAAAAGAACTGGGGTTTGTTGTATATAATGCCAAAGTGTGTCCAAATACAGTGACACAATAAATTATAAAATTCTGTACCAGGTTCATGGGAATTTATGGTAACCATTAAATATTAATGGACTTTTCTAAATTTTAGTGATGAGATTTAATTTGCCTAATTTAGCATTATCTTGATAGATACATATTGATCTTCACTGGCCTTGTCTTGATTAGTCTAAGATTTTAGTATCATTTTTAGTTTATTAGTATTTTAATTAATTTTGGCTCCCATGTCATGATGAGTTGGGTTGTCAGATTGGATAATCTCTATTCAAGATAGACCAATGTGGATATTTTTCTTACAGCCAATAAAGAACATGCATGAACTATTTTTCAGCTTATAATAAAGTATGGGAATGGATTATCGAATTTATCTTACATCCGTATATTATATTGATCGTGTGCAAATGGTGCTTTCTATGCAGCTGATTCTAGTTGTAAACTTATTTGAATTTGAAATATTCTCGATTACATAAAACAAGAAGTGAAAAAAAGTTGTACAAAATTGATTTAAATAGGTTATTTTAATTTTTTAAACAAAAGTGGATGTTAATAAAACATCTCAAACTTAAATTTTAGGGTGAAATTTAATACTTGAGATTAAACCTCGTTTATATTATTAGACTCACCACAAATTCTTGATTAAGATAAATTTTCATCAAGTTATTGTAAGACAAATTAGAGATACCTTAAAAGTTACGAGTATTAAAGTTATCCTTATATGCTACAAAAATTACCATTTTCATAACATAAATTTTACCCTTAAAAACACTAATAATAGAGTATTAGATTAATATATTAGCCTTCATAGCATGTATTCATTAGTTTTTAACTTTTTACACATTAAAATACAATCAAACTCATTAAAATTTTTCATAAAAAGTGTTAAAATTTGCCCTCAAATTGACGATTTTTCAATAAAATTAAGGTAATCATGTCTTATACTTTGTACAAAATTATTTACTCACAACTATCTCCATACCACAAGAAAAAAAAAATGTAAATTATTATTAAACAAATATAGGATACATTTTTCTTTACTTTTTATTTTTAGCACAATTAATTCATTTGTTAAAAATTAAAAAAAAATTATAATAAAAAATAAAAAACTCTTCTAACTTCTTTTTAGGAAAAAATTATAATAAAAAATAAAAAACTCTACTAACTTCTTTTTAGGAAATATAAGATAAATTAGATTGTTAATCTCTGAGATAAGTAGGGCTCACTCATAATAAAAGTAAAATAATAAAGTGACACAGAAATCAATGCGAGAAATTGTGAGTGGAGATGAACTTGAAATGTTAATCTCAAATATTAAAAAAAAAAAAAAATCTTAATGAAATCAGCTCACACAGTGACACAGCAATTCGCAATTACCTTCAAAAAAAAAAAAAAAAAAAAAAAACGGTTGTTCTACTTCCCAGAACATCATCTCATCCTCTTACAGTCAAATCCACCATTTCTGTTGAATTTCTTCTGCAATTTTTGCCATTTCTTGTTCCTCAAAAGTGGGGTTAGCCCCATTGAGCTCATTCTCTTCAGTAAGGTATTTTTCTTTCTCTCGTTTACCCTTTTCAATGTTTATTAATTTAAGCTTTTCTTGGTTAATTTATCTGAATTATATCGTTATTTGTGTTTGTTTCTATCTGTAATTTAAGAGTTTAAATTGAATATGACCCATTAATTTGTATGTAAATCATGTAATTCCTTTTGGGGTTTTTGCTTTTTAATGTTTTTATCTGTATTTTAATTGTATTTAACCACTAAGTAGTGTTGCAGTGCTATGTAATGGAATTTGGGAAACAATTGCGGGTTTAATCTGCACCCATTTTTTCGACTCAAATTGTTATTAGGAAGCATTTCAGTTTTTCATAATTTGAGTTCATTGTTATGTTGATTTTATCCTTTTGATGAAGTCAAGAACCAATTTTGGTCCAATATTGTTGAGGTTTTTGATTGATATTAGGTTTTTAAGGTCTAGTGAGAGTGAAAAAAATGAAGGACACCGAAGCCGTGTATTGATAGATACCTTGAGAAGCTATTCCTTCATCTTTATTACATTGTAATTTTGTATATATATGTTTGAATTAAGCTATTCCTCTATGTTTGGTTTTTTGTTTGTAATTTTTCCATGATAGATTACATGGGAGTCATAATCATATTTTGAGTGTATTAAAAGTTAGAATTTATTGATGGCAAACTATATATATAATTTTGCGAATCACAATGGTTTAGAAAATACTTTGTAATGAGTTGGTGAACTAGGCTTCCTATATACCTTAAACCTAAGGCCCTAAATTTCTGAACATTTCATCAACTTGGCATTCTTGTTGCTCTAGGTGATTAATTTGGTTACACTAACCTTTATTTTATTCCTTTTTATAGTGTTTCACAATTATCATGGTTGGTGTCAAAGAGTCAAAGATGAATTAAGTTTTAATTTTGTATATTAGCATTTTTGTATTTCTATTGACCTTTTATTAAATTTGCTAGATTGTTTCTGCGCTCAAGATAGGATGTCTGTGGTTCAGAGTTGTCACCTCTGCTCTACAAGTTTTATTGACTCGTTCCAGAGCTCGTTCTCCAAGTTTCAAAACGTTCCTATGCCACTACTTAGGTACAATTACTCTAGTACTTTTGGTAGACACAGTTATTACTCAACTCAGAATTTTATTCGGTCATGTTCAATCAATGAGCAGGACTTACCAAAGAAATCGAGTTTTCTGCTTAGAAGATATGAAAATCAGGGATCCCCTAGTCAAACATCCTTTTCCAGGTCAAATAAAACTGATGAGAATTCCAGCCAAACATCATTTTCTCAGTCAAATAGTGATGAAAAATCATCAAGTGCTTGGTTAGAGAAGTGGAAGGAAACCCGCCAAAGAAATTCTCCCAAATCACCCCAACTTGCATTGAACTATAGAAGCAGGGATAATATGTTGAATTCGTTTAGTTCTAGTAGTGACTCATCTAGTACCCATGCCACCAGTGGTAGTACTATGGACAGGATAGTAAAAAAATTGAAACAGTTTGGCTATATGGATGATGCCAATGAAAATGATGATAACCAAGAAAGGATGATTGAGAAAGGGTCAGTTGAGGATATATTCTATGCAGAAGAAGGAATGCTCCCTAATACACATGGTGGGTTTTCTGAGAATTTCTCATTAGGGATAGAGCAAGGTTTTGACAATGAGGACGATGTACGATTTCCATGGGAGAAACCTGCTGCAAAACCTGAGGAAGCTAATTCAGTCATAAAGAGAAGCAGGACTTATATGGCTGAGCTTACTCTACCAGAGTCTGAGAGAAGGAGGTTAATGCAATTGACTTTAAACACGAAGCAAAAAGTGAAGATAGGTGGTGGAGGCGTTACACAAGCAGTGGTTGATCGAATACATGAGAAGTGGAAATCCGCAGAAATAGTGAGATTGAAAGTAGAGGGCCCTCCTGCACTAAATATGAAACGTATGCATGAGATTCTTGAGGTTTGCATCTTATGATTTTTTATCTCTTTTACTTTTACTGGTATTTATTGCCTTGCAACTTAATTTTGGTTGCTGTCTCTCTGCTTAGCTGAATGTTGTCAAAATCAAACATAATATATATGAAGTAAGTGCTAAGCTGCCCTTTTTTGTATCTTTGTGGTGATAGATTGTTGTGCCTATTTAGGGGACCTTTAGACCATTATGAGGAAAATGATGAGACACAAAAGAGGCACTGCCATGAGGCTACACTTTCACTTGGTCATGATTTTTCCCTCATAAATCTATGTATTGCACCAGAATAACCATCAGTACTTGAGATGTAAACACATTTATACTTGATTGCAGAAGGTTCATTACTGGAAATCTTTGAAATGGTCATAATTTTCATCTACTTGTCTAAGCATTTGTCAGTGTATACCTCGGGTGTAATAACCAATTAATCATATCCTTGTTTAAATGTTTTTCTTATAGATTGTTTGAGATACTCCACATTCTTAAAAATCAAGATAGTCCATACATAGGTATACCGTATACATTATCATCTGTTTTAGTGTTTCATTTGTCAGTTTGCAAATATATTGAATATCTTAGTAAATGTTGCTGTGCTGAATAAGCATTATAGGACTTAAAATCACTATAAGACATATCTTTGGTAAGGTTTTACTTGCCAACTCTTAGTCATTTCTGAAGAGAAACAATTTAGTTTCATATCATATGCCGATGTGTAAATAGCTCAAGAGTCTTCACAAATGATCTCGTCGTTGAATGAACATGAAGCATATAGTTTAAAGGAATAGAAGTCCTATAAAATTCCCGTACAAAGTATTTTGTTTATGGTACAGATTTTACATGTCAACTCCCATGAACTCAATAAGTTATTAACTCACTTATCAAGTTATCATCTACATAGTCACTGAACTTCATTGAAATTTAATGACTATTTAAGTGATAGTGTGATACTTGGTTAGTAATCAGTTATCATTGGAATAAGTAAAAACAAATTGTCAATGTATCAAGTTAGCCTTATACCCCCCCCCCCCCTCCCCCTCTTACTAGTATCCACTATATGGCCACTGATAATTGATACTTGAGCCTATTGTTGAAGGAGATGAAAATTCAGTTACTTTTGATTAAAATTACCTTTTCAATTCAACCATCCTTACCCTTATTCTGACAATCACTTCAATTTAATGTTTGAAAAAATGAAGTAAATCTCACAGATACCCTATAGATCTCATGGGGTGAAGGGGACAGTTAAACTTTATCAGTGATTTCTGTTCTTACAGACTATATTCTTCCAAATTTATATCAAGAGTTCAAGACCTTCTTATAGTACAGGATTCATGTTATAACAGCAATATATGTGAAACCTACTAACCTAGTCACTAGTTTAAATTACAATTAAAAGAGAAAGAGAAATAGTATGAAAAGCTGATAGGGTGGACAGATCAGGGATGTTGGCTCATTCCAGCGATGTCACTACTTTTGTGCTCATGCTTAGCTTGTCCTGAAACTTGTTGAGTTGTAGTCAATGTATAAAAAAGCTCAAGGCGCGCTGAGGCGATAAGGTATATGCAGCGCCTTAGGCGCGCCTCGTTGAAGTAAGGCGCACTATATAAATAATTGAAAAAAATTGGCAGAATTATGCTTCAGGTGCGCCTCGGGCGCCTCAGGTGCACCTTATCAAAATCTCCTCGCCCAGACCAAAAAAGCGCTTACCCCCTATCGCCTTGCGCCTCAGTGCCTAGGCGCGCTTTTTCAAACACTGCTTGTGGTGCATGTTTATGATCACAAGAGGCTGTTGTTTGTAGTCCTTCAATATGAGAGTAAAACATCCAAGATTCTGTTTGTCATGACTCATGTCTACAAGCACAAACCTCTTTATCCTTTGTAAGTCTGGAGCACCCAAGATTTCTCCTTAGCTATTAAAACTTTCTCCCTTCCTATTAGCTCTTCTTATTTGCTGAACCTGTAGAGCTATGAAAGAAAGTTTATTTACTTCCATGAGACTGGAAATTTATATTGATTGTTCATTACTATCTAAATACATTAAGTGTAGTGTCTTATCTCTTCTTATATAAAATGGTGTGACTTCTTATTTGGGTTCTCATGTCATTGCATTTTTGTTGAACTTCTTGTATATATGGCTTGTAACCTTTTAGTTTCCTGTACGTTTATTGGTATTATTCTTCATTTTCAATCCAGAGGAAAACTGGTGGTCTTGTTATTTGGAGGTCAGGGACATCTGTATCTCTATATCGAGGAGTGAGCTATGAAGTCTCTGGGCGCACATCTAAGAACCATGGAACTCAGGTTTCTGGCCGATTGTTGCTTGATCAAAATCTTACAAAACCTTCACAAGATGATTCTTATGACAGTAAACGTTCTCCTGAAGAGGGCCTCCACAGAAATGATGTTGATAAAAAAGATTCTGAATCTTTAACTAATATGAAGTACGAGGACGAAATAGACAAGTTGTTATCTGACCTTGGGCCTAGATATGCGGACTGGCCAGGTGATAACCCATTGCCTGTTGATGCTGATTTGCTCCCAAATGTAGTTCCTGGCTACCAGCCACCATTTAGATTGCTCCCGTATGGATTCAGACGTACTCTTGGAGTGAAAGAGTCTACATCGTTAAGAAGGATTGCTAGAACACTTCCCCCTCATTTTGCTTTAGGTATGCTAGCTCTTCTACTTACTTTCTTGAAGCTTCTTAGATTTTTGCTAACTGTGTATTGAGGTTGTCTTCAGGCAGAAGTAGGCAACTGAAAGGTTTGGCAGCCGCCATCGTTAAGTTATGGGAAAGAAGTTCCATTGCAAAGGTAGCGCTGAAGCGTGGTGTTCAGCTTACTACAAGTGAGAAAATGGCTGAGGAGATCAAGGTAAGCTAATGGATGTTGATTGCTGTGCTCTATTTCTTATTATTTAAAATTATTAATTTCACTGCATAAAATATTGTTGATAAGCAATTCCTCTTGATCTAAATTGGAGTCTCTCCAGGATTATTGAATCAATGTCATTAATAGTTCAGCAGTTTGATATTGTCCCAAGCGCTGTCCAATTTTACCAAGCTGTTGTTTTACATTGTCTTAAAATATATTGCAGAGGTTGACTGGGGGAGTAATGCTTTCCAGAAACAAGGATTTCATGGTTTTTTACAGGGGCAAGGACTTTTTATCATCAGATGTCACTGAAGCTTTACTAGAAAGGGAGAGATTGGCGAAGGACCTTCAGGATGAAGAGGAACTGGCACGAACTAGAGCCTCAGGCTCATTTATACCTTCTGTTGGAACTGGAGAACATTATGGAGCTGCTGGTACACTCTCTGAAACTTTGGATGCTAATACTAAGTGGGGGAAGAGACTTGATGGTCACGAGGCAGAAAAGGTGCTGAGACAAGCAGAAGTAATGAGGCATGCCAAACTTGTCAGGAAGCTAGAAGGGAAGCTTGCTTTTGTAAGTTCCTAAACTTTCTTTTGATGTGGTGGAAGAGAAAGGCAATAACTTCAAGTGAATTTTCTTTCTCTTCCGCTCTTGTTAGTGACACACTCTTTCATGCAAGGGTGCATGTGCCGTGCCTACACAATTAGTTTTCTTTCTTATAAAGAAGATCAATCTCCCTTGAAGAATAAAATAATTAAGAGTTCAAGAGTGATCAAGTAGCCCTTTCGGGCTTTCAGATTCAATCAAATACCAAAGAATTAGAGAATATTATTTAGGGAAGTACTATATGAGACACATCAAACAGACTCATGGGGTGTTTTGCTCCTTTAGAAGTACTTAGCAGTTGAAAATTCTTCCTTGTGGGAGGAAGCGTTGTCCACAACTAAAGAAATGAATCTGGAAATAGTTCTATAAGAATTTTTTACATGATGTGTTTTTTTCCTACTTGATTATAGTATCAAGTCTATCAACAATTATTTAAATTTTTTTCAGGCTCTCATGTAAAGATTTCATGCATCTAATACAAATGTCACATATAGAGTAGTTAAAATGCCACAGTAATAGACTTTTAATACAATAACATGTCTTTTTGCACACCATATATCACCTACATTTTATACAATCAACCAGGGTTTTCAGGCTTTTGAATAGAAATATCCTTCATGTAATATGCCTTTGTTTAGTACGATTGTTGCTTTATACCTCAGAGATGTTTCTGAAAGTACAAGCAGAATCCCACAACATGCACCTAAGTGAAGATTTTATGAATATGCATAAACTTCTACTCACTACCAAGATGCATTTCAAATGTTGCTGATACACCTCAACCATAGCCAATCTGATTTCTTCTCTTCTCTAAGCTTTCCAGCTGGTTTCTTCTCAAAACATTCTAGAAATGGGGTATAAACCCTGCTCAAGTTTTGAAAGACAAAACAGATTTAATTAAATCCTTTATAATTAATGAAATTATGCTGAATATAATAGTTTAGGAGCCTCGTGTGGGTTAGGATCCACAGAGAGGTTTGTTGCATAGAATGTTTTGCTCCCAAAGGAAGTGAAGTGGAATTTTTGTCCCTGTTTTTTTAGAGGGGGGGGGGGGTTGCTCTCTGCTGGTCCTACCCATCTTTTTTGTCTGAAAAATAATAAATTAACAATAGAGAAGTAAAGTGTGTTTAAAGGTATTAGAAGGAGAGTCTTCATATTCTTCAATCTAAGGAAGCAAGGAATCAATAGGGAATATTGTATATGTTTGATTGAGATATAATTGGGCATTTGGATAGTTGAGGTCAATAAAGAATGTTTCATGCATAGTGTAATTATTCCTGATGCCTGAGAATTTTTTTCTTTTGAATGTGTCCTCACCCAGTTGTATCTCTGTAAGTTATTAATGAATTTTTTTTTTTTACTCGCTAACTCACATTTCATTTCATGACCATGTTCTTTGGTCGGAGCAATATCTTACATGTAGTGTATAATTGTGCGTGCTTCCATGACATAAAGCTCTTAAATTTTCTGCTAGGCTGAACGGAAGCTGATGAAAGCTGAAAAAACTTTGTCAAAAGTGGAGGAATTCTTGAAACCAACAGATCAACAGATGGATTCTGGGAGTATTACTGATGAAGAGAGATTTATGTTTAGAAAGCTTGGTTTGAGAATGAAAGCGTTTTTACTTCTTGGTATGACAAATTACTGAACTTTGTACATTCTTGATCTTGAGATTTTTTTTATTTTTTTTTATCTAGAGATATTAACTGATACAGCTTTGTAAATTTACTGTTTCAGGTAGGCGTGGAGTTTTTGATGGTACAGTTGAGAACATGCATTTGCATTGGAAATACCGTGAGCTAGTTAAGATCATTTTGAAGGCAAAGAATTTTGAAGAAGTTAAAAACATTGCTTTAGCACTTGAAGCTGAGAGTGGGGGCATCTTGGTTTCAGTTGACAAAGTCTCCAAAGGCTATGCTATCATAGTATTCCGAGGAAAAGAGTATAAGCGTCCTCCTACATTGAGGCCGAAGAACCTCTTGACTAAGAGGAAGGCTTTAGCACGTTCTATTGAGCTGCAAAGGCGTGAGGTATTTTTCTGCAATAAGTTACTTATTAGAGGTTGGAGCTAGTGATGTCACTTGAAATTTTTACTGGTTGGAATTTGGAACTAGTAGCTCCACGCTTTTGGATTCTGATGACTAGTGCCAAGTTTAGATTTGTGTGATTTTACATACTTCCTCCGTTCTTTTTTAGTTGACAGATTTTGACGTTTGACACTATTCACAGTCTCTACTTTGACTTGCTTTCATGATTTAGCTAAGAAAATACAGTCGTTTGGGATCTTTTTTATTTTCTTATCAATATATATTTTCAACGTATATACTTTTTAATTGAAGATATTAGCAATTGAACTTTTGCATTAGAAAATTTGATAAAAGTAATGTGTAAACTTAATAAGAACAGAGAAAGTATTTAAATTATTTTCTAACTGATAGTACTAAATAGAATGGAGATGTAGTTATATGGAATGTCTCATTTGATTCCTTTAAAGAAGCCTAATTAGAGGACCTGGATCTCAATATATTCTTATTGGTAGTTAATATTTCTTTGACTCGTGAAGTAGCAGTTGTACATTTACTAGCTGAGTAGGTGACTTTCTGAAGGTTCGTGGTTGTTATACTACAATAATATGTGTGTTCAATTGCTCAAAGAGGTCAACCTTGCAGGTCTTGTGTGGGATTATTTACTTTATAACTGGCTCAGCTGGCCTGGCTTGGTCTAGTCTGGAGTCAATCCTTGGACAACTAGGTTAGACAGGCCTGACTCTGTAACTGAGTTGGCCCAGGACTAGACTAACCCAGCTCGATATAGTATGATGTTATCTTCTTCCATTGTACTCATTTTTTGTACTTCTGCAAGACCCATCCTTTTCTCCGTTCCCCGTTTCTAATATCCTGTTCAATAAGCTATACAAGCACATGATTGCATGTTAACAGTTTGTACCTTTTTCTTTTACCAACTTATTATCTATACTCCAGCTAGTAAATACGGAGTATTTAAACTTGTTTCAAATTTTGTAAATCTTTAACCAAAAGCCTGTATCCTTTGTATGGATTCTCAGTCTTATATTTGCAAAAGATGGGTTGACTCTTAGTTCTCTGCCATAGGATCCTTGTCATTGAGTGCGGGTAACATAGGTCCCTGCTGCAGCAATCTAAAAATGCTATTGTGACGCCATTTTCTTTGCACAATTTTGAGAAACTGGGTTTGAGATTCTGATATTTATTTGTAAAACTGCGTTTGCCTGGCATTTTTGTGCAGTGATTGTGCTTCAAATAACGATAAAGAAAATAAGAAAAAAAAATGAGATTTTTATATTAATTTTTTTTTGTAATTTAAATTTAACTGCTTGAATTCTTTTCTATTTTCTCTCATTTCATTTCATAAGATTATTTTTTCTGGGGAGAGTTGTCTTCATCATAGTACCTTTTTTTTTTTTTTTTTTTTTTTTTTGAGGAAGGGCATCTTCATCAGATTACCTTTTGTCTGTCAATACTTAGTCTTTTATAATTAATCCATTACCATTACTGTTACATACAGGCTCTTTTGAAGCATATTGCACAGTTGCGGCGGAATGCAGAGAAACTGAAATCTGAAATCGTAAGGCTTTTTAAGCAATTACTCCGTATCATATTCTATATTACAGCTTGTATGAACTGTTCCACTATTTCATCTTTTTCTACTCCTAACTGGACTTCCCTTGACTAAACTATATTAGGAACACATGAATGTCATGGATGAGGAACACCAAAAAGAAGAGTTTTATGATAGATTAGATGCTGCGTATTCCACAGAAGATGAGGTCAAATCCTAGTATTTCTCATTTTCTTGTTCTTTAGATGTTAGTTCATCTTTCTTTTAACTGACTGGTATTCTGTAGGAGGAAGAAGATGAAGCATACCTAACAACCTACAGCGATGAAGGTGATGAGGATGAAACTGGGAGCTCTGATGGTATCACTCTGTAAATACGAATATCAGTTTCAGAACAATAAAGCAGCAACATTGCAACAAGTATTGGAGTATACTATTGGAATATTAGCTTAGATAGTTAGTTAATACTCCCTCCATTTTAAAATACTTGTTCCATTTTCCTTTTCCGACCGTTTTTAAATACTTGCTCCATATCCTTTTTTGGAAAGCTTTTATAATATTTAATTCATTTCTCACACTTAGTGGGCCTAACATAATACTCTCTCTCCTCCTATTCTTCCACTATTTTTGCTTTTTACAATTTTTTATTTTCTCAACTACCCCACTACCTCCATATTTTATTACTTTCTCCTAGGGGTGGGACTTCGGTCTGGCAGTTCGGTTTGACCTCAGTTTGAAACGGTTTCGGTTTGAAACAGTTCGGGTTAAAACGGTTTCATTTAGACGGCGGGTCGGTTCAGTTCGGTTTTGATTAGTCACAGGTCGGTTCGGTTTCGGTTTATTTTTGTACGATTTAAATTCGGTTCGGGTCATAAACGGTTCGGTTTATAAACAGTTCGGGTCATAATCAAATCGGTTAGAAACGGGTTGCTTCAGGGGCGGATTTACTCGGGTCAATGCCGGTTCGGTTTTTAAACGGTTCGGTTAATAATCGGGTCGGTTTGAAACAGGTCGGTTCAGGGGCGGGTTTACCCGGGTCAATGCCCGTTCGGTTTATAAACGGTTCGGGTCATGATCTGACCGGTTTGAAACGGATCGGTTCAGGGGCGGTTTTACCGGGTCAACGTCGGTCCGGGTTCATATCGGTTCGGGTCATGAACGGATTATTTTAAAATGGGTCGGTTCAGGGGCGGGTTTACCCGGGTTAATGCTAGTTCGATTCATATCGGTTCGGTTTATACTCGGTTTGGTGCTAAAATCGTTCGGGTTAGTTTGGTAATCGGTTAAATTGGATCGGGTTGAAATCGAGTTCTAAAAAGTGGTTTTGACCAGTTAGCGCGTTTTGTTTTATATCAAGTTGGGACTAGTATTTCCATTTCATTAGCGGGTCGGCATAGGTTGGTGAAAAAAATAATGGGTCGAGTAGAAATTGGGTTTTAAGAGATTTTTGACCGGTTAGCTATTTTCGTTTTATATAAAGTTGGGACTTCGTCACTTTATTTTCAGACATCGGATTATATACAATTACAGAAATCTTCATTTATTCAATTATTCTATATCATGTTAATATGTTATGTTTCAAGTTTGGTTATACTCTTGTTGTTGTTTATTCGATATTATCATATTAGTCTATTACAAATTTATAATGTATTAATGTATTATTGTTTCATTATTAAATATATATTATTAGGTTATCAGCTTCTTGTTGGATTGTTATAGATATCGTGTCATGACCATGTTTTGATGAGTTGCTACTTTGAATACGATAAATCGATTCAGATATCAGATTATATAGAATTACAGAAATTCTCATTCATTCTATATCATGTTAATGTGTTATGTTTCAAATTTTGTTATAGTCTTGTTGTTGTTTATTAAATATTAGTCTATTACAAATTTATAAGGTATTAATGTATTATTGTTTCATTATCAAATATTATCAGGCTATCAGCTTTTTGTTTTAAAGATCGCGTCATAACCATGATTTGATGAATTGGTACTTTGAATACGATAAATCGATAATTGATATTGTAATAAACTAATAATTTAATGTTACGGAACTATATTTGGATGTTTAATTAAAATCACGATTATTCAATTTCCCATTAGTCTAATAAAGTAATAATTGACAATTGTTTGTAACTATTCCATAATTTTGGTGTTAAAGTTATATTGCTGAATTACTTTGTTGTCTTACCCTCTCTAATCACCTTTTAAGATTACGTGCCTACAAGGCTGCAACATATATATGTTGCAACTTGCAAGTTAAAGAAAACGGGTGGGGAAGTAGAAGTATTCAATTAGATCGATCATCAACTGTTTTAAGTTTTAATAATCAGATACATTTATCGATTATCTATACATACCAATGATAGTATGATACCAATCGTACCATACATTATTATTTATTACATATACTGATATACATATAACTAATATACATATAACTAATATACATTAAATATGTCATATTGAATCAATTCCAATTTCCAAACATTTGTGTTTCTTACAATTTATAAGTTACATAAAGTTAAGAGTACAGTAGTGTTTTTATTAGTACGTAGCTATGAATAAAAAAAACATATTATCCAAATCCATTATCCATGATCCGTGTCACCGTCTTATATTAAATATCAGCCATTGATTTGCATGTCATCTAACGACCTATCATCGCACACATTCCAATTCACGATCCGTGTGTTTTCTTTTCCACCAATCAGATCACTCTTACCATCGTCTCTTTAGTAATCTTTTTGATTTCTCTCTCGTTTTCTTAATCCTCTTCTGTAATATTATCAATTTTTTGAAGCCATGGCTGCTAATATGCTCACTGCTCTCTCGTTTTCTCTCTCATCTCCTCTTCCTTCTTCCTTTCTTCTTCTTCCTTCTTCCGTCTATGTTCTCCTTTCTTCCATCTCGTTTCTCCGTCTCCGTCCACCGGCACCACGCACGACGGTTTTTATGGTCAAATTCGACCACGAAACTCTAGATCTAGTTGTTTCATGATCGAATTTGGCCTTTTAAAACCAAATTCAAGGCCAAATTCAGGATTAATATATAAGGTGTTTTCGTTCTTCCTTTTTTTATTTTCTGTTTTTCTTTTTAATTTTTTTTCAAGTTGTGGGCAACGGAGGGGGCCGAGTTAGGGTGGGTGCGGCGGCGGTTAGACTGGGTTCGGGTGGGTGGGGAGGGAGGATTTTTCGAGGGAGGGAGGGAGTTTTATGGTGGGTGAGCAATTAGAGTGAGTTGGGGGGTTTCGAAGATGTTGGGTTTTATGGGGGTGGGTGGGGTGGGGTTACGGTGGGTTTGGGTTTTTTTTTTCGATTTTTTTGTATGGGGTGGGGTGGGGTGTGTTACGGTGACGGTGGTGGGTGTGGTTGGGGTTGGGTCTGGTTTTTTTTTTTTTTTTTTTTTTTTTTTTTTTTTACAGTGACGGTGGTGGGTGGGGTGGGGTTTGTTAAGGGGGTGGGGTGGAGTACGTTACGGTGATGGTGGTAGGTGGGGTGGGGTATGGGTCTGGGTTTTTATTATTTACGGTGACGGTGGTGGATGGGGTGGGGTAAGGTTTGGGTCTGGGTTTTTTTATTTACGGTGGGTGGTGGGGTGGGGTGGGGTGGGTTACGGTAATTATGGTGGGTGCGGGGGTGGTGTTAGGGTGGGTCTGGGTTGACGTTGGTGGGGTGGGGGTGGGTTACGGTAACGGTGGTGGGGTGGGGTGGGGGTGGGTTACGGTAACGGTGGTGGGTGGGGGGTAGTGTTAGGGTGGGTCTGGGGTGACGGCGGGGGTGGTGTTAGGGTGGGTTACGGTGGTGGGTGGGTGGAGGGTGGTTGGACTGGGTGGGTGGCCAAATTTTTTCATTTTTTTATTTAATTTATAACTCCTAATTTAGTTATACAAGAATATAATTTTAATTTTATAATAGCAAAAAAATTTACAAATTTAAATCAATAATTATATGTAAAAAAAATTGTACTGTTAAATTACATTAAACATCAAATATATTTCGTGGAATCTAACAAAATGTTAAAGGCTGTAAATAGTTCAATTTGAATGGAACGGGTTGTAAACGGTTCGGTTTAAATAGTTTGTAATCGGATCGATTTAAACGGGTTGCGGTTTGAAAATAGTTCGGTTTAAACGGTTTAATGGGTTATAACAGTTCGGTTTAAACGGTTAGCGAGTTGTAAATTGTTCTATTTAAACGGTTTTTTCCTACGGTTTAAACGGTTTCGGTTTATAAACGGTTCGGTTTAATTAGTTAGCGGGTTAACATTAATAGGTTCAAACGGTTTCGGTTTATAAACGGTTTGGTTTGTTATTGGTTTACGGTTCGTAACGTGTTAACATTAATTGGTTCGGTTCGGTTTCGGTTTGACATTATACGGTTCAGTTCGGTTTTCGGTTTAAAATTAGCGGGTTATAAACGGTTCGGTCCGTGATGGTTCGGTTCGGTAACGGACGGTTTTACGGTTCGGTTTGAAAAGTCCCACCCCTACTTTCTCCTAAAACTCCGCGCATGGAGAAATGGAGCAAGTATTTAAAAACGGAGGGAGTACATAGTTTGATAAGATGTATAAATTCAGCTGTGTAATTACGAAGTACAGTATTGTAATATTACATTCATTTTTGAGTAATAACATCATGCATCACTTTCTCTCTCCTCCTCTCCCCATCTCATCAATTTCTTCTGAAACAACTTCTCCTCCCTCAATCTAAGTTATTTTAATGGCTTCCTATCATTTTTTTCCCACCATGAACGCCCAAATTAACATAATATCAGAGCGGACGATCCTAGGTTCATAGCTCAATAATTCCGCACAATTTTCAGCTTGAACGTGAATCTCCAATTCTTATTTTCCCCAAAATTTTTTGTTCTAATTTTTTGGTCAAATCAAGTTTGCAATTGAGCAATAGGAGCTTCAATTCGTCCTATTGTCCTCTATTTTCAATTGACAAATTTTTTTGATTCTTAGATTTTACCCAAATTTCTAGGGTTCTTCCAATTTTTCACTCTTTATTGTTCGAATTTGAACAATTAGCTAAAAGTTGTGAGAGGGATGCTTGTTCGACCTTCTGTATTTGTGAAATTTCAACCAATTTTTGGCAAATTTGATCATTTTTGGTGGTTTTATGGATGTTTCGTTCTTGAAGTTTTTCGATCGATTTACGGGTTTGCAAGTTTAGGTTATTAGAACTTCAGTTTTTCGATCGCTCAAATTTCTGGGTTTTATGTTTTGGGTTTAGAAATCGGAGTAAAGTCTCTGGGTTTTGCCGCCGAAATTACAGAAAAGCAATCAGTGAAGTTTAGTTTCTGGGTTCTTCGTTCTCATTGTTGGGTTCTTCGATATTCTTGTTGGTGATGTTCGTAGCCACCGCCGTCTTTGCTGTCACGGTTGTTGTTGGTGTTTGCCCTTTCTTT